GCACCGAGAGAAATAGAGCAGGGAGATGCGAAAAATACAATTCTTGAAAGAGAGGACAAGTGAGGAGGGATGAGGGTGTGGAAGAAGAAAATGAGGAGAGCAGGAAGGACTGATAGAATGGAGAAAGACAGAAAGAACAAAAGAGAAAGAAAGAAAGAAAGAAAGAAAGAAAGAAAGAAAGAAAAGAAAGAAAGAAAGAAAGAAAGAAAGAAAGAAAGACATGTAGAAGGGAAGGGAGCAAAGTAAGGGAATCAAGACAGGAGAAAAGGTAAGGGAGGCAGAAAAAAAAGAAATAGGTAAGAAGGAATGGAGAAGAGATGAAGCGTGGAAGGAAGAGAAGAAACGATAGGAGGGAAGGGTGAGTTCCCCATGGTCCATGTGTGTGTTGTAAAGTCGTCACCACTCCAAGCTCGCTCCCGGGATGGACTACAATCTCATGTTTAGTTTTCTAATTTGTATTGAGGTTGTAGTCCATCAAAGGAGCAAGCTTGGAGTGGTGACTACTTTACAACACACACAGGGACCATGGGGAACAAAAGTAGCCCCCCTCCAGAAGGAAGGACAGTGTCAGCACCAATTCAGAGATGATTGGAGGATCTACGGCCGAGTGATACACAAATAAGATACATTGTTGTTCATAGTTGAGGTGCTTGAATGTATTTTTAAGATTGAACTCCTGAGTTTAGTGTCACTTCAAGATTAAAACTCTCAAAATATAATTTTTAAAAACAAAGTGTCCTGACACTGACCCCCATGCATAGGCTGCTTTCCCCCCTCATTTTAATCTTCTTTTATCAATTATTACCCATCAATAAAGTGTATGAATATCCCAAACCTTTGTTTTGCTCTTTTGGATAATGCAGGGAGGTGATAAATCCATCGTCAGTTTAATTTTTGTCGGTTTTCCAAGACACACAACAGAAAGTGAGAGGAAATCTCTAAAAAGTGAGTGGAATTCCTCTATTAGACATTTATCACTGGAACAGTTGTCCCCACTGGAAGATTTCCATGAGGATTCTGTCTCCGCAAATAAAATAAAAACAAAGAAAGAAATGGCTATACACACATTGAAACTATTACTGGACCTCTCTATTACCTCCCATTTCAATAGCAAGCAGATGGAAACCATCAAAGAGATACTAATAATTTATTTGTACACCAGGGGTGGGTAACCTCGGCACTCCAGCTGTTGCGGAACTATAAGTCCCCTGGGGCATTGCAAAATTTCGATAGCCACAGGCATGACCCCAAAGGCAGAGGGATGATGGCATTTGTAGCTGCACCACAGCTAAAGTGCTGAGGTTGCCCTCCCCTGCTGTATATATTAATTAAATTAAAGAAAAATATATATAATTAATGAAAAATATTTATTATTATTGTTATTATTATTATTTACAATTTACAGTCACGCATTAAATATAATAAAGTAAGATAATACAGTTTAAAATCAATACATTAGACATTTCCTGCTTAATCTGTTCATTAACACAAATCAAACCAACCGATGACCTGCCAGTGAGACTTCTTTTCTTTTTGGCTTGATGCCCGCAACACCATCAAAATGATATCGATTGACAAATAACTGTGTTACATATTGATTATCATTATCACCAATACTAGTTATTATTTCACGTTCGGTCAGTGGTTGTATTATGTTTATCACACGTTAGATACTTCCTGCAGTCATGCATGTCTAAAATATCACAAGTTACATAGTTACATAGTTAGTTAGGTTGAAAAAAGACACAAGTCCATCGAGTCCAACCTATAGAAGTGATTCAGATTTTGGAGGAAATTTAGATTTAATCCATATGTAAACCTAATCACTAATATATGATACAAGCTTTGATATGTAAGTCATTTCAAAGGTCATTTTTAACAATATTTTTTAAATCTGTTGCTTTCATTAAAATATTCTGTTCCTTTCCTGTCCCAGAGGTGCAACAGGAAGTTAGAGGAATGCTGCCAAATTGAGTAGAATTCCACCCACCATGCTTACAATGCTGTCCCCAAAACAGGTATTCCTATTGGAACATTTCCTCTTGCGTCTTGTTCTAGGGACAGCTCTAAAATTTGGGAATTTCCCTCACTGTTACCAGGACAAATAAATAGGTCAGTCTCCCCAATATTAACACAGACTGCAATAAAAACTTGAAATAGGGTCTAACTCTCCCCCACTCTGTTCTTGTGTAGAGATTCCCTTTCAGGGCCTGTTCACACGACGTCCGTTTTCTGTGCTGACCAGATCCGTACGTTCCTGCACTAAAAATGCATCCCAATGTATCCCTATGTGTTTTATGGACTACAGTTCTCATGTGCGCAGTCCGTTCAGGTTTACGACAGAAAAATACTGCATGTCACATTTTGTACGGTCAGGAAACGCAAAAGGCATCAAGAACGCGTCAAAAATGCGCTGCACTGCAGCTAACAAACTGACAGCCCCACTTCAGCAAAAAAAAAACAAAAAAACTTTTTTTTAACTGGAACGCATCGAAAACGCGGCCAAAACACGGCAAAAACGCGACAAAACACATAGCACCGCGTCTGCTGATCCGAACCTGATCCGGACCTGATCAGGATCTGAAACTCATGTGAACAGACCCACAAGGACGCTAAGAGAACTACCTCTTCTTCTGAAAATTATAATTTCCTGGCTGTCACGCCAACCTAATGGATATCATGATTTAATGCAAGTCTTTAACACAGTGCCCATTGACCCAGAACTGTATGCTTGGTTTGGAACAATGACTCAGAAATAATGAGGGACCAGGAAATTTTAGGACGAAGGGCAAGATCTGGGGGTCTACCTATTCCGTTCAGTTCAGGTTGCTTTCTAAGTGACTTTGAAGTGACATCAACACTTCCTAAATATCCCTTCCACCACAGTTGGGCAGCTCAGCTTAGCTTTTGCCCCAATCTTGGAGATGCTGATTTTGTCGGGCCTTCCTGGTTAAGAAGCTGGCCCCGCCCCTTTCAGGCTCCCGTAGAGGGTTATTGGCCAATTCATAGGTTGGGCAACCTCAGCGGCCAACAGTGTGGTGGTGGCATCATAGGTATACTTTTGGACAGAATCATTTCAACTCATAAAATGGTACCTCCCTTAGGAACAGCGGCAAGCACCCAAAAGAAACAATGTGAAGAAGTCTTTGTATTTTTTTACAATTTTCTGATGTTTTTGAGTAGTTGAAATATGATTTGTTTGGACCAAAAAAAAAAATCAAAAATACAGTAATAATATCTGCCCGTCATGTCTATACAGTTATAGTTATTATATGTTGTGTCTTTGCAGGGTCTGGTAGTTCCTTTCCAAAAGCAGACGAGAGCTTCCTCTTCGACATGCTGTATCTTCGCTGCAAAGACTTCCAGGCTTGGTAAAACCCTTTGTCGACCGTCGAAGACAAGAAGTAGAAGATGAGGGGGTCCAGAAAGGCATTGCAAGTGCCGAGCAGGAGGGCCTGCTGGCGCCAGGTTACACTCTCGTGTCGAATGAAGCCCACTATATGGGAAACATTATAAGGGGCAAAGCACACGATGAAGACGGTCACCGTCGTGACTGCGACCCGAATGGCTTTCTTCTTGTGCTTCACGTGCATGCAGCATCTCATCAGAATCTGAATACAACGGGTGTAGCAAAATATGGTGATACCCAGAGGAAGTAAGAAAAGGACGATTGAGAACTCCAATCTTGCCGGCAGAATCACTTCCAACTGGCTAGCAGTAAAGTTTTCATAACAGACCACTTGATCGTTTTTTTGGGAAACAAACAGTTCAAGACGGCCTTTCTGGGTGGTCTCGAAGACGAACACGAAGGTCACATGGCCCAGCACGATGGCCCACAGGAAAATGCAGATCAAGAAAGAATATTTGGGCCTCTTGTAGATCTTGTACTTGATCGGGAAGGCGGCGCTCAGGTACCGGCCGACGCTCACGGCGGTGAGGAATAAAATGCTGGCGTAGATGGTGCTGAAGTGAAAGAGGTTGTACAGCGGACACAAGATCTCTGGAAGGGTCCATCCGGATAAGAACGTTTCCATAATTTTGATGGGTAAAAACATTATGAACACGAGGTCGGAGATGCAAAGGTTAATCATGTAGATGAGATTTGGGGTCAGCCGGCTTTGGGCCTTCTTGCAGAAAATGTAAAAGACTAGGAGATTGGAAGGCAGTCCCAAAAACATGGTCATAACGTAAACGGCCAGTGATAGGGTTTCCAGAGACATCTTAGAGGTAATGATAGCCGGCCAAGGCACTGACAAACAAAGACATCTTTCCTGTGACAAGCCGGCGAACCCAACGGCGTATACTCTAACAGTCCAAATCCCGATAAGAGCTAGACCTTCAACAAAACCTCTTCAGCCTTTGAACGGGACGATTCTCTTTCCAAGGCAGAGCTGAGGGTGCTTACGCTCTACCTCCAACCCAGTCTGTAATGAGTTGTACAGTCGACTCCAAGCCAAGTATGAAACATCTGGATCGTAGCCAACTCATCCTTTATTTTTCTCTCCTAAATGCATGGGAAATGGTCCATGAAGATTGATAATCTCCGTTAATGATCCTTCCAACAAGCTCACGTAACAAGCCAGCCCTGACTAACGTCCAATAAAACCATAAATACATCACTGATTCTATAACGCGGCTTCGGATTAGTATTGGCACACTGACAATAAATTGATATGTTGCGGAGATTTTTATAGAGTTGTGGAGGATATTAAAAAAGAAAAACAGTTAGTTGTGCTGGATGGAGAGAGTGCCGGCTGGTACAGGATCACGTGCATAGTGGAAGATATTTGGACACTTGGCAACTGTTGCCGGGAGAACATCGCTTATAGCTACTGTATATCAGAGCTTGTGAAGCTAATGGAACAAACTGATGCAAATTGTGTCAGGTAAATCTATAGCGCTTGGGCATATTACTGATATAGCGTGCATAGGATGACAACTAGGGTGTCCTGAAGTGCCACCCAAAGGTAGGGGGGGACAAAAATTCAGAGTCTTTGAGATGCACTCACAGATTTGATAAATGTTTAAACATGAACTATAATGATTTTTTTCCCCCAAATGTGACACTTTTATTTATAAACAATTGTACAGAGTAGGGATGCATCCGGTACCGGTATCGGTGCCGATACCGAGTATTTGGGCGAGTACTCGTTCCGGTATCAGGAAGCTGGGTAGTGAGTCATTACATGCTGCCCGGCTTCCTGATTGGCCCTGAAGCCAGTTCCATGCTCCCTTGTCACCAGGGAGAATGGAGCTGGATTCCTGGCCAATCAGGTAATCAGGTAATGACTTGCCCCCCTGCTTTCTGATTGGCCGGGAAGCCGGGTCCATGCGTCACTTGGTGACGAGGGAGCATGGGGCCGGCTTACCGGGCCAATCAGGACGCCGGGCAGCGTGTTATGACTCGCCGCCTAGCTTCCTGATTGACATTATCAGTTATCATTAAAAAGCCATCTTTGAGTATCTGGGTGGAGATGGAGCCTCCTCTGCAGAAATGGAGCTAGTTGTGGTACAAGACGTCCAAGCAGCGCTCACAGGTGGTCACATTCTGGAGAAGGAGCCCTATGACCAGGTGCATATATATATATTTGTGTATAGGAGGGGCAGATAGGTTGCATGGCACTCCCTAATGTCCGCCCTGCTCCCCATATAACCTTTATATACTGTATATATATATATATATAGGGATTATTCACTATGGAGCCGAAGGATACAGCCGTAGCTTCGGCTGATCCTTCTGCTCGCTTGGGCCCCCTGAGCCCTTCGGTTTGGTCGAACCAAATGGCTGCTGTACGCGCTATTCACTATAGCCCGTACAGCAGCTGAAGTCGGCTGAGCGGCTCAGCCGAGCCGAAGGCATATGCTTCGGCTCGACTGAGACAAAGTGACAGCCGTATAAACAATAATAACTGGGCGAAGCCAGCCATGACGTCAGGGCCGGCTCCGCCCAGTTGTTATTCATTGGCTGGGACCTGCTATAAGATTCTGGCAGGTGCCGGCCAATAGGAAACAGTTGGGTGGAGCTAGCTGTCACTGCTGTCATTGTTTTTTTAAAATTATTATTAATCAGCCGGACTGAGCCGGAATGAATAGCTGAACGTTGCCCGGCTCACTTCACTTCGGCTGGGTTATTCGCTCGGCTGCCTTCGGTGGCTTTGTGAATGACCCCCCTGGTCTCGGTTGTTTCCAGGCTGCTATCACTTATTATTATCGCTCACAGATAACAAATCATAAAGTAATAACGGTCGGGCCCCACAAATGACGTCTCCATGTCCTATAAAAGTCACTCGGCCGGCTGCCACATTCTGGATCTGAATCCGCAGCCCGTCCTTCCCAGATAATAAAGATGTACAATGGATATGAGAACTGGAATGGACTGCAGAGAATTCCCCGAAGAGTCGCTCAGATTCAGCAGTTTTATGACCTCTGTGGGAGTCCATATCTGCCAACTAAGATCAAAGTTGATGTTATCCCTAATTAAATGACATTCATTTAAACAATTGCCATGTTTGTTTTACTTTCAGCGCTGCTGTTCTCCGGTGTCCTCCTGTCAGCATGCACTCCAGCGAAGGCAGCATTGCATTTCTCAGGGCGAGTTTCCTGATGGTGACAACAGTGGACTGTGACTGGGTTCACTGTTGTCACCATCAGGAAACCCGACCCCCGACTAAGGCCACATTAGTGCGCTGAAACAGCCACTTGGAGCCTGTGTGACAGGGTGACAACGCAGCAGCGCAGTTGGAAGGAACATACGGATCGCTGTCACCCTAGAACAGGAAGTGCCGGGATAAGGACCTTCATGGCAGGATCGCCAGGTATTATCTTAAAAGAGAACTATGGGGGTAAGTGTTTTCCCCCATAGTTCTATTTAGGGTCATAAACTAGCGTCCTCACATGACCCAAAGCTCATTATATCGCGGGCTACAGCTCGCGGTATAATGAGACCGCCGCAGCCGTGACGGATCCCGACATTACTGTCGAGATCCACCCAGCTGCATGATTGACAGTTGGCTCTGCCTATCTAGAGGCAGAGCCACCTGTACCCGCCCCCTCCCCGTCCGTTCCTCCAGTCAGCGCTGGAGGATTGGAGAGGGGAGGGGGGAATACCTGCAGGGAGCCATGACTGACGGCTCTCTGCTGGGAGATGATCGAGAGGTGAGCGAGCGACGGTATGTGTTCCCTCACTTCCCGATCTATTGAGCCGACCTGTGACAGTTCATTTTCATAGTTCTCCTTTAATGAAAGCTGCAGATTTAAAGAGACTGAACATTAGTTTTGAAATGACATTAGCGTGTTAAATCAATATTTTAATCTTTGTAGATAATTTCCTGCACCCAGAGCCATCATTTCCTGTGCTTTTACCTGCAATTAGGCGACAGGTGCTCTTTAAAGTAATAAATGCCGATGTCATCAGCACGAAGGTTCACGTCAGTGCAAATCCACTTCATGGCATCTATCAATAAAGGGGATTTGCACTGACGTGAACCTTCGTGCTGGAGTGCCGTCCACAGTCATTACAAGCACCTGTTATTTCTGGGATATCCGGGAAGGTACATGAACTTAGGTGCTCTTTAAAGGGTACACGTGGCCAAAAAATGTTTTTGTTTATTTTTGGATAAAGTAATAGTAAGGATTAGAATCCCTGGTTATTATTATTATTATTATACAGGATTTATATAGCGCCAACAGTTTGCGCAGCGCTTTACAATATAAGGAAGACTTTACAATCACAAGGCAAGAGGGTAAGGAGGGCCCTGCCCCTGAGGGCTTACAATCTAAAAGGGAGGGGCCTGCCCCTGAGGGCTTATTGTTGTTTGTGTCCCCCTGTCACCCAGACAGAAAGTGAAGGGGAATCCAAACTGTTCGAGTTACCGGAACACAAGGGGAGTGGAAATCCTCCAATGGTGACACCTGTTCCAGTGACAGCTGTCTAAGAGGGGGATTTCCCAAACTTTGCCGAGATTTTCTCTTACTTCCTCTTGCATCTCCAGGACAGGAAATGAAGGGAAATCTCCCCAATGGGATGAAGACCACAATAAATAAACAAACAAATCAATAAATAAAAATAAATAAATACAATAAGCACTGTAACTGAAACTTAAATGAAAGGTTTTGATTATACTTATACTTTAATCTGTTTTATAGGCACGAGTTGCTACAAGATAAGTCTGAGCAGGAGATACACTCAAGGAAATAATAATAATAACAATAATAATAGTTGAGATAATAATAATAACAGTAATACTAATACTACTACTACTACCACCAATAATAACAATAATAATACAGCTGCTGCTGCTACTACTACTACTACCACCACTACTCCTTCTAATAATATTAACAATAATAATAAAAACTTTACTACAGCTGCTACTACTACTACTACTACTACTACTACTAATAATAATAATAACAATAATAATACAGCTGCTGCTGCTACTACTACTACTACTCCTTCTAATAATATTAACAATTATATAATAATTAAACTACAGCTACTACTACTAATAATAATAATAATAACAATATTAATACAGCTACTACTACTATGACTACTACTGCTACTACTACTACCACCACTACTCCTTCTAATAATAATAATAATGATAATAATAATAATAATAATAGTACTTTTACTACTACTACTAATAATAATAATAATAACAGTAATAATAGTAATACTGCCACTACTAATAGTAATACTACTAC